ACTAACTAACTAACTAACTAACTAACTAACTAACTAACTAACTAACTGTCTGCATGTAAACTTTGGTAATAATTTAAACCAGGCCTCAGTGACGTATGCCTAAAGAAAGTTTTCCTAAACAAATGCCCAGAATGTAATTTTAACATAAACTGATAGTATGTAATTAGTATTTTGTAATATAAAACAAATGAATAACAGCAGATATTATTTATTTATTGTTAACTACAAGTGAAACAGGAGGGTAATGGGAGGAAACTAAATTTAAAACTTTCCATTTTACTTTTTAAACTTGTTTTTATTTTTTTTACAAAAAGAAAACGGGAATAAATTTAATTTATGTCATGCACTCTATAAGACTCTGGGTTGATGAATCCAGGTGTGTTGGTGGACCGACAGGATTCTGATAGATCAATAAAACTGGGTTCTGATAATAATAAACCACCTGTGACTCTGAACAAGAACTGAACATATGACACAAACAGTCTTTGACTCTCTACGAGGAAAAACAAATCAGGGTCCAACCTCTGTGTGAGTGGTTTGTCTCTACTGAGGGAGAGATTAATGCAAAGGGAAAACAAAGTAAATGAAAAGCTGCACCTCATGAAATACATTATTAATATTAGGAAAGGTGCAAGTACCGTATAACAAATTAATTCAACTAAAATTTAACAACAACCTTGGTCCAGAAAATACTTTATTTGGATCAAAATCTGGAACCCAGTTCACCAGTTGGGGACCCCCTCTAAGCTATGGCAGAGACAGACTCTTATTTTGAAGAGTATCTGCACGCTTTATTATGAAACCCCAGATTTAAGCCTGCCTGATCAAAATAAATTTTAAAGCTACTGCCGGTGGTGCAGTGGTGTCACCATGGAAACCACTCACCTGTGGCTCACTCTCTGACAGCACTACTAATAAGACAGACAGATACACAGACTAGACACTGTGTCAGCCAGTCCATGAGTACAAACTATAAGTCATAAATTCTGACCTGCTAGAGGCAGAAGCATCTAGTTTGTGTCTACAGCGTGTTGTAGGAAATATCAAAAGGCTCTTCACTTCTAGGTTTGAAAAGGAAAAATCTGAACTCAGATACACTGAAAGTCAGTGAGAGCTTAGATACGTGCACTCTGCTCTCTGAGGGAATTTAGAGGACAAATATAGAAGTCCTTATGAGAGACCCACCGAGTGAAAGAAGACAAAAATGGGCCCATTTTGAAATATAATTATTATTGATATTGTTTATCTTATTATATATGTATACCCTTATTTCTTATATATTGTATTGTTTATTAACATTTAGGAACTTTTGTGTGAAATCTTTTTATCTGTTGCTGCTGTTACACTTGAATTTCCCATCCGTGGGACAATAAAGGCTGTTTCTATTCTATTCTATTCTATTCTATTCTATTCTATTCTATTCTATTCTATTCTATAAACTGTAAAAAGAGTGTAGAAGTATTAAGTAATAGTGTGACATCATCACACTCATATTGTAAAAAGTTTAACTTTAAGTCAAAGTTTGTGTAAAAATGGTAAATTATATCAAAATACCAGTTCAGTAAAGTTCAACATTTTGTGACCTACTTAGACGTTGAATGTTTCTACTGGGAAGCGCCTGAGCTGCAGAGCTCCAAGAGCTCTGGGTTTTCTCACTAGTTTCACCAAAACCCATTGTCCATGAAAACGTTTTGTAGTTTTTTGTTAGTGTCTTCTGCGTGGTACAACATACAGCTGCCAACGGCCACAGCCACTACTCCCACTGAAGCCACACAGTTTCATGTATTTTTATGTTGACATTTTCAAAGCTGAGCGATGAGAAGTGAACTGCAAATTGTGACCAGAATGGATGAATAGTGATGTGTGGGCTTCAGTGTTTACATTTTAAAACTATTGAAAAAAAAGGTGAGTATTATAAATAATTTACTGTCAGCTTGCCTTTCAGTTCTTTAATTAAAAGTACCTGTCAACTAATAGATGCTAACATAAAACCTCTGAATTAATACTAGATGTGTACCTGTTTCACTCTTTGTTTAAGTCGAGAGTCTATCCAGCCACCACCTCTGTTCTTCATTTTCTTCAAATGACACGCCTGAAAAAGATCAAAATAATAACTATGTTAAAGTAAAGGGGTTTCTGACTCTGAACTTCTAGTAATGCAGCATTTTGCAGTTCTGGTTCTTAAATCCTCTGCCTTGCATGTTGTCAACATTTCTCTGCTCTCAAGTATTTATTTTAAACAAAAATGAAGGTTTGAGGAGGAACTGGGCAACACATCTGTCTCTGTTACTGGCGCTTCAGAAAGTCTGCTGAACACGTCACAAGCACGGTGCACCTGCGTCTGTCACAGAAACTACAAACACCAACATCTACGAATCAATGAACCAAGATCAGATTGTTCCTGAAGCAAACATCTAAAAGACATTTCAAGCAGATTAATTATGAACTCCTGCAGACAACACCAACTTAAATAAGAAAAAGGAGAAGTGGGGGCAGTGGCTCTGTTTAGTTTCAACATGAGGTTTAAGTGTTAAAAAGAAAGGATTAAAAACTCCGAGTTATCCAGCGAGTTATTAATCTGACAGATCACTCCTAAACAAAGCTGAAGGTCTTTCCAAAGCTTCTTATATATTTTTTCTTTTACTGATGTCTCTAAAGAAAATGTCACGTTTACCTAAGCTTCTTGTTAATTTAATCTGGAAAACTAAGTTTCAAAAGGTGGTTAAATAAATATCTATATTCACCCTTTCTTCATAATATTTCATCTTGACCTTACCTTATTCATATTAACTTGATTTAAATATTTTTAAAATAAAATTATATCTGAAATGTCATCATTTCCTACTATGCCCTTTGGATGTTAATGTACATGTCCAACTTTCAGAGACAAGTTTTCATACTTTGGTTTGTTACATTTCTCAATTAAACTTAAAATGAAGTCTTTTAAAATAAAATGTCAGCATCACTCACTGAAACAATTCCTTGTTTTTAGAGCTGATTTAACAATATTCTGCCTTTAACACCTGAATGTTGTTGTCTTCTGCTGTTTAATGGTTGATAAATAACGCAGTACTGGTTTCTGACACATTAGCATCAGCGATAACTTACCTCCAAAACACGTCCACGTGGTTGTTACTGACTGTAAATCCTGGATAATCTTAATCCAGAAACATGACAGAGTCCGGAAACTAACATTTATTGAACTGGGGTCATTTTGAGAATCAGGAGAAAACAGCAGATGCTATATTTTTAAATAATTTAACTTGGCTAGTGTTGTAGCGGCTTTTACTGATACCCCGGAAATACAAGTAAAATAACTTCCGGGTTAAGAATTTCAAAATAAACCCCCTTGCCATACTAGATTCTACATTTTGGCTGTTTTCAAATGGTGGTGTTCAGAAAAAATACAACAAAGTTAGATTAAGAAACCTACACGTTTTTTCATAGTATGGTTTATCCTCCTCTCCCTTCGGGTTTTCCCGCTGTCTGCGTTTTTAAGACTTTTTGGCCTCCTCTATTTACAGGATCATTTCTGTTTGGTGGTACATCCTGTAAACAAGCCCCAGCATTTATAACAAGTTTTATCATAATAAAATGATTTATTGCTCATTATTTATTATTTTTCGTATTTCACGGGAGTGCGACTACACAAAATGCTTATCTATGTGGAAAATGAGATTGTTATCAAGTTTCGAGTAAAAATCCAATTAAGTTTTTTTTTTAAATTGCTTCAAAAGATACCGGGAAATAATTTCGGGTCGAGGCGCGTGTTTTCAACAATTTTCCCGGCATTCAAAAAGTGTCTGGAAGATCAAGCCTCTGAAATCACAGACCATGAAGTTATTTTGACTTGTGTCATGTCTGCTTCTCCTCGGTTTCACTTCCTGACGCTGTTTCAGCGCCGTCACTTCCTCATCATTCACTCTGCTCGTGGTGTCGGTGTGAGGCGGTCATGAAGGACGAGGCTGCAGGACAGGACCTGTCTCCCAGTCAGGACCTGTACCAGGACTACCTGAACTGGTACCTCCAGCAGGGCTCAGGGGTCGGGCCGTGCCGGGACGCAGGGCTCCAGGCCCAGGCGGCTCAGCTCCTGCGCACAGAGCCGGACCTGGCGCGCACCTTCACGCTGTTCCCCTTCCTGCAGGCTGTGAGGGACAAGTGTGAAGATCCGAGCAGAGACTGCAGGGAACACCTGAGAGCTTTCATCAAAGCTGCTGAGGTTCTGGAAACCATCTGCGTCAACCTGTTCCTGCAGCCATGGAGGAAGGAGATCAAGACGCTCAAGGTTTCTTCTAAAATAAAGTTTGTTTCTACAAATGAATATTTTAATGTTTGGCTGAGCTTCCTTTTTATTCAAGGCCCTACATTCCTTGAAGGAATGCATGTCGCCCGCCGCCTTTCATGCCAGAGTTAAACTCTCATGTTGAGAAAGTCAGAGGTGTTGCTGTCTGCACTTGTGGTTCATGAGATATTTTACTAACAGTGACAAGGTCAAAGCAGGTAGTATCTGTTAGAGACTACTCTCAGCTACTACCACAACAAAATGAAGCTCAGTATTTGTAAAACTGACTGTGTCGTTGCCATTTTACTGTTTCATAAGCTTGGTGAGGCGGCCATCTTCAAGAGATACAAAAATAAATGAGTTGAAGAGGCATTGACCTCCTGAGAGTTTAGTCAACATGTGTCAGGTGGTTCATGAGATATTTTCCCAACACAGTTGGTCAAAACCAGTAAGCGTTTGCATTTTACAAATACGTACAAAACATTTTCAAAAGCGGCGGAGGGAACCTGAACAAGGTGTAACTAGAATATTTCTGAAGTTTCTTCGAAGGCCAACACGCCTGTCAGTCACTTCCTGACAGCACTCCTAATAAGACAGGCAGTCATGTTGAAGGACCTCCTGAACTGTAAGTGGCCGATCGTACGTGTTTACATGTCTACAGAGTTTTATGTAGGAGATGGGACAAGTTAAGACCTTTCTGTTTTGAATAATTATGACGTTTACTCAAACAGAAACTGTGGCATGTGGCAAACCGTCTTCATGTCTAACAGGTTTCTGATGGAAACGAAACTGTTTCTGTGTGTCTTGTAGTGACGGTTTACACCACTGACATCCTGATGTAAACATGGCTTCCCCCCCCCCCCCCCCCAGACTTTTACAGGTGCATATGTTTACTGCCTCCTGCCTGTTCTCAGTACTTCTACTCTTCAGTCTGTTCTGGGCTCTATTGGCTACCTGCCCCATAATGAAGCTTCTCAAAGGTAAGATACAAAAACTGTGTAAATAAATGCTGTAGATGAAGTTATACAGCTCACGCCTACTGCTATAGGCACCCCTCTGCTATAGACACCACTCTGCTATAGGCACCACTCTGCTATAGGCACCCCTCTGCTATAGGCACCACTCTGCTATAGGCACCCCTCTGCTATAGACACCCCTCTGCTATAGGCACCCCT